AGATTGAGTATTTTGTTTTCTTTGTGTATTTTGTTATATAGGCATGGGCCCAGGAAGTATGGAAATTTTCCAGAAAACATGGTTCGTACTCTTGGAACTTCACATATGCTGTGTAAGGAGCGCTGCGCGGAGACTAAATCTTTTTTGTATGTCATTAATGAGTGTTGATGCAGGATAAGCGTCTGTATGTATAATTGTCTTACTGTAAGAACTTTACATTCCCTATACAGATTAGCTGTTGGGTATCTGTATGGACGGTTTGTACTACATTTTAGTATACCTCGTTGGGCTCTCTCTAAAGGCAGAAGATGCGTTTTATTTGTACCACCCCAAGATGAAATACAATAACATAGCACAGACTGGCACAGAGAGTAATATAATATTTTAGTGACGTCTTTATCTGCACAATCTCTGATGTTTTTAAAAACTGCTGTTAATTTTCTGATTCGCTGAATTAATTGGTCTATATGCTCCGTGAAGGACAATTTTTTATCAATAATTACGCCAAGGTATCTAATTGAATCAACTTTTTGTATGGTCTGACATTTACACGTGACACTCGAGAAGGACTTTTGACAGGTAGATGAGGTGTGTGCAAATAGGGGGAAGGACTCAGAAAATGGAGGGTTCTTAATGGAAAATGCTATATACTTTGTTTTTTCTATGTTTAATGTTAATTTATTATTTCTAAGCCATATCGAGACGTTGTTAAACGCTTCCTGGGCTGCTGCAAAAGCATCAGGCCATGAGTCTCCATGGACTACTAAAGCTGTGTCGTCAGCGTAAGTTATAATAATTCCCCGACCAATTGGGAGGTTGCAAAGCTCGTTTATATAGATAAGAAAGAGGGTAGGCCCTAGTATACTGCCCTGCGGAACACCACAGCTAACAGTTAAGGGGTCACTTATATGAGGTCCTATCTTTACGCTCTGTGTCCTATTCGTAAGATAATCTTTGAATAGGTTAAGTTGTGTACCTCTGATTCCAAGACCCTCTAATTTATTTAAAAGTATCGGGATTGACACTGTGTCAAATGCCTTTGCAAGATCTAAAAATAGAGCAATACTCTTCTTTCTAATATCAAGATTTTTGGCAACAAATTCAGTTAGGGTAAGTACAGCATGAGAAGTTGACTTATTTCTACGGAAACCAAATTGATTGGGGGAAAACATGCTGTTCTTTTCTAGATAATTGACCAATCTATTGTTAATTATCTTCTCAAAAACCTTAGATATAGATGTTAAAAGGGAAATGGGCCTGTAGTTACCAACAATCTTTTTATCACCACTTTTGTGTATAGGAATAATTATGGCATGCTTGAGAGATTTAGGAAACACTCCAGTTTGTAAGGAAAGATTAACAATGTGTGTTAAGACAGGTGCAAGTAAAACACTATTCTGGCGTAGCACAGTAGAAGGAATATTATCCCAGCCCACCGAACTACCTGCTTTCAACGAGTTAATGGTGTTAAAAATTTCAGATATATTTGTATCTGTTAAGACAATAGAATTTACTGTTTTGTTGATTGACTGTGGACTATCGCTACCAATGTCAGGAATAATTTGATCTGAGAGGGCTTTACCTATATTAGCAAAATAACTATTCACGCCGTTGACTGCTTTTTTATAATTTACGTTATTTTGTATAAGATCTTGTGATACTTTGGGAATTGTTTTAAAGTGCGTTATTTCGTTTAATACTTTCCACGTCAATTTCATATTTCTCGTTTTACTAGCTTCCTTTAGACGTTCTCTTTCATAATTGGCTTTAGCTTTTTTAAGAAGAGTTTTACAGTAGTTTCTATATCGTTTATATGTCTTAATAAGAATTTCATTATTAGGTTGAGTTCTTAATTTTATATGCATCCGATCTCTGTTTTTTATACATCTTAATAGTCCTATCGAGATCCAGGGTTTTTTTGTCGTCATGTTTCTAGATTTAGTTAAAGCCGTGGTGTTACTGGTAATTGCTTTAGCTATAATGTTTATAAAATAGTCAGTGGCCAAATTACAATCAGTAATATTGTATATTTTTGAAAGGTCTGATGTTTCAATTGATTCAGAAACTTCTTTGTAGTTAGTCCTGGTTACCATGTTACTGATAGAAGGATTTTTTGTCTTAGTATCCATGACTAGAAGTATAGTATCGTGGTCAGTG